TCTAATTTTCTGAGATTGTGGATTTGGGGTTTTCATGAGCTGTAAGCCATAATCATCTCACTTATGACACATCACGGCTTGAACTATCTTGCTTTGCATGTAATGAGTCTATCTCATATATTAGGTTCACCTTTTAAGTTGCATTACTGAAATAAATGAACTTTTGCACGATATTCTAATTTTTCGAGTTTCACCTGTAGTCCACTGTGAATATTGCAAGTGTGAAATAAAACTAAAGCTACATACATGTTGATAAAATTCAGTGTAATCAGATTTTTATGATGAAGTTTTTTTTTAAAGACAGCAGCCAGCCCACTTTGCTGATAATAGAAGATAAGAAGTGGTGAGCCACTTCCTATTCACTGCCAAAATCCCTGCATGTTGTTTCCAACTTTGCTTTGTTTACTTTTCTGGGGAGCCGAGAAATTAAAATTTTCTCATTACGTTATTAAAATTGCTAATAATAATGTGTTCTCCTTCCTCCTTTAGAGCTGATAAAGTTGCAGGTTGAGGTTACAAAAAACAATGAAATAGTCTCTTCAAGAATGTGCACTTGTGATACTTTCAGACTTTCCTGTTGGCGCAGGTTGCTTTATTTATTCATTAGATTTTTATGTTACCTGTATTATTTTATAAGTAACTCAAAGCAGTGAACATTCCTAATGTTCTGGATCCTGTAACCCTGACTAGAGCAGGGCTTTTCAACCTTTTCATCCATTGTACCACTTTTAGGATATGGCAACATCCGAGTACCACCAGTCGCCTAGCAAGGTGTCAAAAACTTGATGACCAAAAAAAAAAAAGGAAAAAAGTGATAAAGCACAGGTAGTCCTCGACTTACAACAGTTAACTTAGTGACTGTTCGAAGTTACAATGGCACTGAAAAAAGTGCCCCCCAAGCCACAGCCGAGCAAGACACCTGCCTGCCCACCTGGCGGCGCTCTTCCTCCTGTCCAAGGTTTTCATTGTGAGCATTTCTGTTGAAGATTGGCAGCGGGGGAGGGGTGGGGGAGTGTTTGGTTTTTATTTCCCCTGTCTGCTGGGTGGTTGCAGCAGGTTTTGGTCACTTCACATGACCCTGGGACACTGTGACCATCATAAATATGAATCAGTTGCCAAGCATCTGAATGTAAATCACAAGACCCTGGAGATGCTGCAACATTACAGCTGATCGATGCTTCTTCTGGGCTCAGCAGAAGCACCAGGATCAGCGCTGAGCTCCAGCTGGGGCCTGGTGCTGCTCTTGGCGCTTCCACTGAGCCCTGACAGCCCCAAAGAAGCGCCGATCAGCTGGAAAGCGGCACTGATCCTGGCGCTTCCGCTGAGCCCTGACAGCCCTGCAGCTCCAGCCCTCTCTCGCTCAGGCTTGTGCGGTGCTACCACTGGTTCAGCTCATTCCCCTCCCCCGCTACCACTTTTCTAGGATGGTCACATACCACCTGCCAGGTGCCAATGTACCACAGGTGGTACCCGTACCACTGGTTGAAAAGCCCTGGACTAGAGCATGTAGATCTGTATGTTAGAATGTTTGGCATTTATTGGGTTAAGCGCTGTCTCCTTAAGAGATGGTTTATGGGTAATGTAGTTTTAGCTAGTCAGCAATCCCATGTTAACAGATCTGTGGGAGGAGCCACTGAAGTTCATCACAGGATATCCTGGCCATGTGCCAGTTTGGGAATGCCTTTGTCTGAGATGGAACCACCAGAGGGCTCAGATGGTCTCATTCGACTTAGAAGTTGGTGTGGAGAAAGTATTAATTTCTTACCTATGAATGAACAGATGTGTATTATCCAGAAGCAACAACCACAACTGCAAGTATTTTTGAATAAAATATCTGTTTTGTAATCATTCTTACTGATTTTATCTGTCTGGCCTTGGATTAAAAGACATCTTGATTTTGGGTCAGAACACCTAATATTCCTTCCTCCTATTTTCCCCACAACAACAGCCCTGTAGGTGCATTGGGCTGAAAGAGAGTGACTGACCCAAAGTCATTCAGCCAGCTTTCATATTTAAGGCAGGACTAGAACTCATAGTCTCCTGGTTTCTGAGCCAGCACTTTAACTGCTATACCAAATTGGCTCTTTTAAGGCAAGTAACAATACTTGTTTAAAAGTGTTTAAAATGCTAATGTGAATTATATCTTCTGCCAGCTTCACCCCACATGTCTCTGATAGTTTGAATTTCCTGCAAAAAATTTTACATGGAAAAGGCCAAATGCCATTTAGTTTGTTGCTTGTTTATTAGGAAACTATGCCACAGTTGGCATGTTGCATGAATATTATGTGGTGCTTTTCACACAGTAAACTGCCATAGTTAACCATGGTGTGTAGAATAAACCTAAATTGGCTGGATTAACCCCACACTAAACATAAAATCTAAAATCAGACATACAAATCTGGTGTTAACATGCTAAATCACAGTCTAACCTGATTTTCTTCTAAAATATACCTTGTTATGGACATTTTACAATAAATTTGGGGAAAAGAAGAAAGCTAGGATGAAATTAGCTTTCCAAATGCCAAACTGATTTTTTTCTTTGAGGCATCTTATTAGGCAGTCTTTTGAAAATAAAATCTAGCCTTCTTCCATGGGATTCTGTGCAGGACTTAGTTTACTGAGAATGAATGGGTTAACTGCCTTTTCACATGCTATGAGTAGATTCCTCTGAACATTATAGGGTGGATGGACTAATATTTCATGTGGGTGGGAATTTATGTCTCCACCCTTTCCTTACTTTTAGCTTCCTGTTTTATAAGGAACTTGGATTACCAGGCACGGACATTTTACTCTCTTCCCTTTTTGGAAGAGCTGCCAAAGGTCACGCAGCCAGGGGCCCACTCTGCAAATGTAAGGGGCAAGCTGGCCAAAGTATGATCCCACTGGGGTTCTTTCAAGTTTTAGTAATTCCGGTAAGTGGACATTTAAGGAAAATGGCTGAAGGAGAAAGTGAAACTCTGGGGGATATGATCATAAAGGCTGAAGGAGAATATTAGTTACTACTATATTTGATTTCTAATTATTTCATATTTGTTAATCTGAAATGGGTGGTCTCTGTTGCCAGGCATAATATAGGAGAGAATATTGATGTTAGATCACTTGGATAATAGTCTCAATTTTGTCCCTGTTTGTTTTTCTCTGTTGATTGATTCTTTTCTTGAAGATTTGGCAGCAATCGTCATAAAAATTGCCTCTGAAAAAATTATTTTAGTGTATGGACCTCTTTTAGTTGGTGAGATCTTTCTGATCTTTTATTTGTTTGGATAATGTGTTTTCATTCTCTAGTTATGTGTTAATATTACTTCAAGGAGGTGACTTTGTTAGACATAAATGAGAATATTTTTAGTTCTTTCATTACTTTTAACAACTTCCTTAACATCCAGAAGATATTCAAAATAGGGCAGGGTGGCTGTGAATGTTCACTTCCAAACAGGGAACACTTCCAAAAAAATCAAAATAAATCATCAATCACACAAATAAGGGGAGAATTATTTAAAAAAACATTCCATAGGAATCATATTTTGTTCACACAGAGGGAAAAAAGCCATTTCTTTTGAAAGAGCCCAAAATATAAATTTCCAGTTGCTTGCCAGCTAAACTTATTAATCAGTTACATAGGAATAAAGGTACTTGTTACATTAAGACCTAAAAGCATTAGCACATTAATAGCAGCTAGGTTTGAAATCCAGACTAATGTAATTTGGTAGTATGCTTCCATGTTGTTTTACAAAATTTATGAAGTTGTATTTTAATAATAGGAATGGTTCTATAGAATTTAACAAAGATATCGGGAAAAGTGAATTTACATCTCTGCAAGTATAAAAGGGAAGAACTTTTATTATGAAATCATGATGTAAATTTCATTATCCTGGCATCATTGTGGTTCGAAATGGACACCTAGTTTAACAAAGCTCAAGTTCTTTACCTGGTTTTAGTATATTGTAATTGACATTTTAGATGTCTCTATGATGCTGAATTTCTTCACCATTCAACTGGTCAAAGTATCTGGAGAATTAAATCATCTTTGTTTTTAATAATGTTCTGCTTTGAATCCATGCTTTTATAACGTTTTGCTATACTGCACTGCATTTACCAGTTTGATGTAGTGGTTGAGGTGCTGGCCTAGAAGTCCAGAACTGTGAGTTCTAGTCCTTCCTTAGGCATGAAAGCCAACTGGATGACTTTGGGACAGTCATTTTCTCTCAGCTCAACCCACCTCATAAGGTTGTTGTTGTTGTGAAAATATAAGGAGGAAGAGTATTAGATATGTTCTCCGCCTTGAGTTATTTATAAAAATAAAAAGGGGATAAAATAAAAAATAAATGTACCTCCTATTTGGTGGCATGTTGGTAGCAATACATTGGTTTTCAGACAGACCCTAGTTTAAAGATTCTGTCTTGAATACAATCATACAAGCATGCTTTGAATAAAACTGTGCCTTCCTTATGTCATACTTGCCAAAAAGTACAACATAATGTTATCCAAGAGAAAAGCATGATTGTACTGTTGGAGATGAAATTAATGAAAATGTTTGAAACAATCAAAACTTATCTAAGCAAAAATTCAAATATGGGATTAAAGCAGAAGTATATGTATATTGTAAATAAAAAACATGATTGTTGTTAAAATTTTCCACTTATTTATATTTTACATTTATTTAAAATATTTCTACCTCGTCTCCATCAACAAGGGTTCTATATATAATACAGCAAAAACATACTAAAGAGTGTGACATCATTTGTGACATACAAAAATAAGATATTTGCTTATTTTTAAAAAATCTCTTAGGTGTTCCATAACTTAAACCACCTCCAGGATTGGATGCATGCAGAAACAGTGGTGCTTTGACTCATTTACAAAATATAAATAGCATAGGGGCCATCTGTATTAAAGAATAGGGGCTGTTATTGAGAAAGCCTGTCCCGGTACCTCTTGAGGAGGGAGACATCTCCAGTAGCCCCTCTCTTGATGACCATTTGGACAGACAATTTAAAATTGAGACAATAATGTAAGAGTGATAATTGCAACAAACCTTTATTTTTTAAAACCAACAGACATGGAAGAAAAGGAAGCATGAAAACGTGATAGCTGAAATGATGTGATATATGAGAAAAAAATCCATTTAAGATAAAGATTGTTGCAAACATGAGGCTGAGAGGAATCTAGGAATCTGCTGCAAATACTTTTCTGTTTACTTCAGATTATAATTCCAACTAATTAAAAACAGCAGTCATAGGTGAACCCAGGACCTGGTTTAAGGCTGGGTGTGGTGGTGGGGACGATTAATATACAGAGTGTCATCTGAACACTCTTTTACTATTTTGTATGAATCAAGCCCATCATATCTTATTCAACAAATTATGGTTTGAATAGGTATCATGAATTGTGAACTCAGTTATAATTTCTAAATAAATATGGAACTGAAGGGAATGTTTTGCTGACTAATGCTGAGAAATATTTTGAGTCAATTCTGATGTGTTATTGTTGTCAAGTTCACTCTAAGTCTTGATACTGAGATTTTTTCAGAAAAATAATTACAAAATATAAGTAGAAAAGCAATTGAAACTATGTCCTGTATTGCTTTCTATCCTTAAGTAGCTCTGTAAGCTGCCTGAACTTTTTCAAAAACTGATTGGAAGAGACCACTATTCCTGACCTTTTTAAATGGTGACCTCTGGCACATCCATTATACTTTTGTTCCTACTTACTACAAAAAAATGTTTGCAGGGTTCTATTTTCCTTTCTCCCCCCCCCCCAAAGTATTCAGAACATGATTATTGGTTAATGGTCAGTAAGCACCTGGATGAGGAAAATTCCAGAAGTTTTTAGGAGGGTCTTCAGTTTTGGGCCCCTTGATGGCAGAACTGAGTTCTTGACAGTTTTACCTCACATATTCCCTTTTTAGCAGAAGGACGCATGACGTGACCCAGATACACAATGTGAGGCTGTCAGGGAAGTTAGAAGTTAGGAAAAAGATAAAACAATTTCAATCAATCAATCAGATTAGAGCTGGAAGGGACCTTGGAGGTCTTCTAGTCCAGCCCCCTGCTCAAGTAGGAGTCCCTGGCCTATATCATTTCAGACAAGTGGCTGTCCAGTCTCTTCTTAAAAACCTCCACATAGAAGCCTATCTTCCACATTAATACTATTACTAAGAATAGACAGAACAAGTTGTTTATGTTGGCATATGAGAGCAAAGGTTTTTTTAAATGAAGCTTTTAAGTTGCACAACAATTTCCAAGCTGCTGGTAAGTCAGTAAAACATAAGAAACTTCCTGAAAGAGGAATGTTTTCTATTTCTGTGTAGAGGACCCTGTGTAGACTCAGATGTTTTCTTCAGCTCATAAATTTTTATATTAATAATTGTTAATTGATTAAACAAGGCTGTTAAAGTTATCTGGCCAGAAAAAACTGAAAAAGATGTGGCAGTTAAGTTAGAATGTTACTTTAACTTTTTAAAATGATTGTTATTGCTTTTAAAATAACAACACAAATAGAAAAAAACAAAAGGAACAAAACACAAAGATTTATACATTATAAAAACAGCAACCTTTTCCCACGCTAGATTACTTTATGGGGAAATCCAAACATTAAAAATTGGGGGAAAGATGGTGATATGGAAAAATTGGATGAAAGCAGAAATATTGACTTGGTAGATAATGAGAATGAATTTTTAACATGTTGTACTGAGAGACAAATACCATATTCCAGTGATGGCGAACCTTTTAGAGACTGAGTGCCCAAACTGCAACCCAAAACCCACTTATGCATCGTCGAGTGCCAGGTGGGTGTGGCCCATTGGGTGGGCGTGGCTGCGGTGGTAACGGCAGACTGGGTGGGACTAAAAAGTTCAATCAATTTCAACTTTGCAAGATCTTTTTTTTCCCCACGAGAAGTTGAAATTGACTGATTGAACCTTTTTTTTTTTTTTTGCACATGGCAGCGGAGGCCTAAAGCGAAAAGGTTTTATAAAACCCAGCTGAAGGCCTAGGACTGGGGTGATGGCGCGCGTGCCCACAGAGAGGGCTCTGAGTGCCGCCTCTGGCACCCATGCCATAGGTTCGCCACCACTGCCATATTCTATCTTCATTCTGTGTATCTCAGTGACTACTGCTACAACATTTATTAACATATGGAACAACAGCATTTTCTGCTTCTGAAATGTTGCAACAGACATAAGTGAAAAACAGTCATAACTCACTATTTTAAAGTAATTTTTAAATTTTAAAGTTGTAATTTCGAACAATGATTAAATGAATGGTTGTAAGTCTGTAACCTATACAGTATTACACCTTATACATTGTATTTTTTTCTGTTATATCTTTTGCACTTATTTTTAAACACTTGTTATTTTTTTTTTGAGAATGTTGGACATTGTTACAAGCATAGCTACATATGCTATTTTCAGAGCAAACAATATGCTTACTAGAATCAATGTTTTCCTTGACTAGAAGAAACTAAGCAGTTTAGTTTATATACAGGTAGTGTTTGACTTACAACCCAATTTAGCCCAACATTTCTATTACTGAGATATTTGTTAAGTGAGTCTTGTCCCATTTTACAACCTTTCTAGCCATAATTATTAAGTGAATCACTGAAGTTGATAAGTTAGAAAAACGGTTGTTAATCTGGCTTCCCCATTGACTTTGCTTGTCAGAAGGTCGCAAAAGATGATCACATGACTCTGGGACACTGCAGCTGTCATAAATATGAGTCAGCTGCCAAGTATCTGAATTTTAATCACATGACCATGAGGTAATGGTCGTAAGTGTGAAAAATGGTCATAAGTCACATTTTTCAGTTCTGTTGTAACTTCAGTCACTAAATGAATTGGTGTAAGTTGAGGACTACCTGTATCATGCTAAATTGCAATGTGGCTCTTTTACTTTGTATTTAATATGTTGTGTGGACTAATTCAACAAAACGGTTTAAATCATGGTTTATTATGAGCCACATATGAATTTATTCTACCTTATTGGATATGAACTGAAAACCCATATAAATAAAAAAGATGACGAAATGTTTTTACAAAATCTATGATCCCAGTGTCTTGCCCTGCTTCAAACCAGACTTAATTGATTTGCCTATTCCTCCACAGACGATACTTTTGCAGCCAGGGGTACCATACAACCTGCAAGACAGTTGCCCGTTTTGTCATGTAATGCTGATGGATTCACTTTTTGTTACATTGTATTAATTGTAGAATATTCATTAGAGGAGTGTTCTAGGTTTAACTGTCCTTTTTTTTTCAAAATTGAATTTAATTTGTACTGGTCAGTCAGAATAGTTTATATGCTAATTGTTGCAATGTAGTACTGGTAAATAGATTTGCCTGTTGGAAGATGGAGAATCTTGTGCATTTCAACAAAAGCGAATAAAATGTACAGGATGGCTGCTTATTTTTTATTGCCCTTTTTATAATGCTTTATCCCTTATCTGGATGACACCATAATCAACAATCTGAATAATACTATTACTCTCACTTTGAGAATATGTATTCTAGAATCCATTGCCTTAAAGAATATGCCTTTGTGGAGGATCTAAATGGTTAAGAGATCATCAGCCTTTGATGAAAATTGCCTTACTTCACTGTTATTCTTCACAGGTAAATTTAATCCTGATTCAGTTGAGAATTGGGGAGTCCTTGGCAATACCACTTCTTTCTGAGCCCATACGAATCCGTGGGGTTTTAGCAGAGAAACATACCTTCGTTCATTTGAGTGGAAGAGAGAAGAGAGAAATTCAGTGCCAAGTTGGGCACTATCTTCACCCAAATAAAACTCACTGCTGTATTAAGTGCCACAAAGGTATTACTCTAATTTATATTCTATTTGTTCTTTTGCATTTCAGTATTTTCAGGATTCTTACCCTGAGAAATGTTATCTGTTACTTTCTTTTAAACTTAAACTCACATGTACTGTATAATATTGGTGGTGAAAACTTTTGTAGCAACTGACAACTTTCTAATGTAGAAGGAATAGTGGTATCCCTCTTGTGTATGTATATCACATAAGATAAAAGATTAAGTATTCATACATCTATTAAGTATAGTGTGATTATTTGATTAAAACAATGTGAAAAGTAAGAACTCGACTTCTGTGGTTTGAAAACAGTATAATGTTTGAACCATTAATTTTGTGGTTTATTCAATAAAACATTACTAAAACTTTTATTTTGTACAATTGCATCTTTGGACACGCTATGAGTTTGTGTGTCAAAGCAAGAATAATAATAATAATAATAATAAATAATAATAAATTTAATTTATATGCCGCCCTTCTCCCAACGGGACTCAGGGCGGCGCACAACATATTTAAAACAAAACATAAATACATTCCCCCCCGATAAAACCGAATTAAATCAAATTTTAAAGTTGTGTCTCTGTCAAATTGTTAAAAGATAAACCCCAAATAAAATCCTCCCTAGGTCA